TGTATAGTAGTGATAAATATTTTGTCGACTTTTGTTATGAATCGATTGCTTATTTTTGCTCATTTATTCTCTAAGGTAAACTCCACTTAAATTCTGCAGAAATTTCATCCAAGCTTAATTTTGATTTATTTCAAGTAGTATTTCTTTTAACTTTGTCTTTGTTTCCTCATTTCTTTTAAGTTATTTTCTCTCTTATCTATATTCCTTATTTAATTTTTCTACTTTATATTTGAGTTTTCCTATTTCTTTTTCATTATTAATCATTTCTCGATTGAAACTATTCAACTCTATTAAAATATTCAGTTTTTGTTTTTCTAAAAATTCTACATGCTTCTTATAAGTTTTTTCAAATTGATTTAATTCATCAGTAGTTTTATTTAAATCTGATCCAACTTTAAAGATTTCTTCTTGTTTCTTAGTTAGTACTTCTAATAATTATTTTTCTCATTCTTCATCTTGCTGAATTGAATTTTTTTTTCTTCTCTCCTCTTCACGATATAATACTATAAAAATAGCTGCTCTATAGAGACCTTTTCTTTTAATTAAACTAAAATTTGACATTTCTTCGATCTTAAAATAGATTTTGTTTAATTTTCATATAAATTTAACAAAAAATTAAAAAATATCGAGCTTAGATATGATGAACATTCTGCATTTAAGTCTCTTATTGAATGAATTTTACGGAGTTGACCGATTACATCTTGATAAGCTTGAACTAATGTATCGAGTTTGTTTATAATTTTGTGTATAACAATATTTTATTCGTTTTTGGCATTAAGTTCTCTGGAAGATCTGTTTCATCTGATGAGTTCGACAACTATTTTTTTATAAGTAATTTAAGCTTAAGATTTTCATCTTCTACTTATGTAATGGTTTGATCCTGTTTTAAAATAAAATATGGTTTATCTTGTTTAAAAAGAAATAGGGTATGGGCGTCATTCTTCTTATCATACACATTCACACCCACCTTCTCGCTATTTCTCTTCGATAAAAGGATGCTGAAAGAAAACTTGTCAACTAAACAATAGAAGTTTTACCTCTCTTTCAAATAGTGTAGGACTTTCATTTGTCGCACAATCTCAAACTAAATGATACGAGATAAGATGAGAAACACTCGTGCAATAAATTTGTAATTTTTATATGAACTTGTCAAAAGCATATTGTTAGACAACAATTGCTTCAAGTTTTGTGGACTCATGAAAAAAGTTCTTGCAGAATGGTAGTAACTATAACTTTTCTACAAGATATTTTTGACAAATTCATATAAAAATTACAAATTTATTTTGTGAGTGTTTCTCTTGTTACTTGCGTCGTTTTATTTACTAATGTGTAAAAAATATGAATCATATAGTGTTCGAAAGAAGAGAAAAATTTCCAATCAACTAATAGTAAATTTTTTTTCAGATCCTATTTATCTAAAACATATAAGGATTGACATTTTGTGACGTCCTTTTATCGAAAAAGTGCGTTTTTTTTTCTAAAGATGTTTCTTGTTTGTTGCCTCGTTTCGTTTACGAGTGTCTTATAAAGATAAGTTATATACGATTCAAGAGAGTGAAAAATGCTATATCGTTCGGTAAAAAATATTTTCTTTCAGCGTTCTTCTATCGAAGAGAATAAGGAATCTACATTTTTTTGGCATGAATTTTACATTATACGTTATAAAAAAATCGTTTGATTGTGCCATTCAAGCCTTGAATGAATTATAATGTGATAAAAGAATTTAATTAACACTAAAAAGCTTCAAGCTGACATCTTGAATACTCAACACTTTGGTATCCATTAATTTTTTGTAGTCTCACAATATTTTCATATCATATGTACATGCATGAGCATATTATTTATGGAACTTTTGATTTCACATCGACTTAGATGTTTCTTAATTTTATTTGACACCAATGATTTTTCTATGCCTTTTTTAACTTCAAGTTGATTTTGAGAACGCACTTATGATGTCCTTCATCTTTCAATAAATTTAAATAACGTTTAATACATATAGAAATCACTTCAATGACTATTAAATACAATAAAAACATCAAGATCAGCCTTTCTCTCAATTGGATGCAGTGCTATGATGATCATGAAGAGATTAGTTTCTCAGTTGTGAACCCTTTTTTCTACACTCATGTAAATAATCATCTTCGATTTCACTTAAAATACATGATTCATATGAATGTACTTCATAATAAATTGTGTTCACTTTATCAAAAAGTCAATCATACATACGAGGAATTATTTTCAAGTGCGCATATATATATTACTAGTACATATGTACGACTTCTTATTATTGGTTTACTTGACGTCTAATTATCATCGCCTAAAATAATTAATTAATACATTCGCCGAAATCGATTACGACAACCATAACATGATGTGGTTGCCCTAACAGTTCCAATCTAAGATAAATTCATTTTTCGACTTTTCAAAAGATATTACACTGAAGACGCATGTCGACTCAAAAAGAATTCACATGAGCGATGGTTCATCATTATGTTAGTCATCAAAAAGAGAATGTGACAATATCATCATTATGGTCTACGCAATATATTTTATATGAAGAGAAATATTCTATGATTTTTTACACACATACAGACTTTATTTTTAATGTGACAAAAATTCGCTTTTCCTTTGACTTCCTATACAGTAAGAATCGATATTGGCCATGTTTTTTTCAGACCTTGTCACTCTTCATTGATCATAATGAGTTCAGATAGAAAAAATATTGTTTTTCTTGTATTTTTTTTTCACATAATTTTTTTTTATTATGGTATTGAATATGCGTCGAACATTATCGAAGTATATAGAGAAAAGGGTTTCGCAACTAAAAGTTTGATTTTATAGTCACCAATGAGTTGTAGTTGTATCCATGGGTAGTCATGGTTGGTAAACGTATTCGTCTGTGTTTTACATTGAATTCGATAGGTTTTGCCAATAACTATATCACTTTCTATCGGATAACTCAATGCAAAACTTTTTAAGCAATAGTTTTCAGTATTTCATCTTAATAAAAGCCTCTTAGACAATCATCAACTAATCGACTGGGTAATGAAATATTGATTAATCCTTTTTATCAATTATTGACTCATTTTCGAAGATGTAATCTTTTAATTTTGTCACCCTTTATACTATCAACATGTTTAAAAGTAATTTTGGGTTTTATGTTCTCATTTTTCGCATTCAATGATTTATTCATTTCAGATTGATTGATTTGATTGTGTGCATTGCTACACTGGTGACTGCTGCTGTTGTATTGCATAGTATCGAAAAACATTAAAAGTAAGAAATTTTTGTCTGTCATCCGAAAAAATATTCTACGGACGAATCTACAGAATATCTATATAGTCCGATATAAGCCTTTATCAAGATTTACGTATTACTTTTCTAAAGAAAAACCAAATATAGAGTTTTATATTTCACATGTGCTAGAGGCATTAACTATTAGGCATTTAAAATAGATTATAATTATACAACTGTAGATTTCTATCGATATTGTTATCAAATAAGGGCACTCATTAAAACTTCTCATTTTTTGTTTGATGTTTCACCTTAAAAGAATACAAGTAATGTGAGAGTTTACTTTATTTCAAGAATCAAAAATTGAAACATTTTGAAAAGATTCAAACTTATTTTTCTCAGCTCGCTTAAGTATAATAGGAAGCGAAGATCCCAATAAAATATGCGGCTAAATTACAACTATTAAACGAATATCTACATTAATTATGTTGAAGTAGCTTACATATGACAGCCATTCTCGATAATCTCGAAACATTCAGTCTTTTTTGGCTTGATGGATCGGTAAATACATCAAAAGAAAACGTTGAAGCTCAATCAGAACTTCGTGCAATCATTAATTATCTTAAAACTTTCGACAATACTTCAAAGTGCGAAAGATACATTCGAAAGTGTAACGAATCAGATAAAATCGTACTCATCGTCAGTGGTGATTTGGGACAAGAAATAGTACCTCGAATTCATAGACTCCAGCAAGTTTCTTCCGTCTATGTTTACTGCATGCACAAGAAGAAGAATAAGAAATGGGTCAGTCAATATTCAAAAGTAAAGAGAAATATTGATTTCGTATAGTTCTTTAAAAATACTCTATTTAGATTAAGTTAATAAGCACAAATCTCGACAAACTCATTCATCGAATCAAGACAGATCATACCAGAACAAAGAAAATTGAAGAGGCATTTTCAATAACTTTCTTGCAAGACAACTCGACAATAGATCGATCGTCATTTGGTCTCAATGGACAATATGTTCAGTTTGAATTATTGTTAGATTCTCTTCTTCGCATCGAAGGCACTAATGAAGATAAACAACAGCTGATTTCGATTTGTAAAAAAGCATACCAAGATAACAAAACAGAATTGAAGAACGTTCGTAAATTCCGGAAAAATTATAGACCTGATCAAGCCTTATGGTGGTATACGAAAGATTCGTTTCTCTATCGAATATTGAACAGAGCATTACGTGTACAAGATACATCTTTGCTTTATCTTCTGCGGTTCTTTATTTCTGATCTTTGGAAAGAAATCGAAAAGAATCAATGTAAACAACCCATTCGTACTTACCGATCTCAATTGATATCGAATGAAGAATTCTATGGATTGTCAAATTCAATCGGAAAACTGATATCAATGAACTCATTCATGTCAACCAGCCTCGATCCAAAAGAGGCTCGCAACTTTTTTGATGATTCGAATGATTTTCGACAAGTTTTCTTCGAGATTGATGCTGATCCAAGATCACAAGCCGTCAAACCATTTGCTGACATCACCAAATATAGTGCTCATCCCAACGAAAGAGAAGTGCTTATGTCAGTCGGATCTATCTATCGAATTCTTGACGTTGGCCGCAGCAACGATAAATATTGGATCATTAAAATGAAATTGTGCAGCGAAAATGAAAATAACCTGCGATTCACTGTAGAATGCATGAAATTGGAAAATCTTGTGGAGGGTTACGAACAGAAACGTCTTGCATTTATCACGCAATTGATGAAGATGAATAAACTCGATGAAGCCGAAAAACATCTTCGTTATCTTCAGGACACGATGCCGGATAATCATAAAGATGTTATTTCTTTGTATTCTAAGCTCGGAGACCTCGCATTTGCTAAAGATGACTTAACAAAAAGTCTCCATTGGTATCAACGAGCATTAAAACGAAAAAACCAAACGCTCAAATGGGATGATCTTAATATTGCCGATAGTTACAATAGTATTGGAAGTGTCTTTGCAAAGCAAAAAGCTCATGAAGAAGCACATAAATCTTATAACAAAGCTATGGAGATTTGGAAGCGAAATTTCGGTGACGAACATTTGGCTATTGCAACATGTCTCAGTAACATAGGCACGGTCTATGATAGTGAGAAACGATACTTCGATGCACATCAGTGTCACAATCAGGCTTTGATGATTCGTAGAAAACATCTTCCTCCTGATCATCCAGATGTGGCTATATCGTTACATAATTTGGGTGTTGTTCACAAAAACATTGGTGACTTGAAAAAAGCGCTACAATATTTCGAAGAGTCACTTCTAATTAAACAAAAGTCACTTTCATTCCGGCATCCATCCATTGCCTTAACATGGGAGAATATGGCTTCTGTTTATGAACAGGATCTTGCATTTCAGAAAGCGCTTATGTATTACGAAAAAGCGGCTGAATGTTATAGTTCTGAGGATGCGTCTACCAAGAAAAAACTTGCTAATGTTGAACAAAAAGTACAACGTGTCAAGTCTAAAATGCCAAAAAGGTCACGCTAATTCATTTTTATGTGAGAGAACATTCATAATTGGATTAATAAATAGTCATCGTAATTACCAAAAAAAGCATTATTAAATCAGGAAGCTCAAAAAATCAAAAAGAATCATGAATAAGAACTTAAAGTTAGAAAAACTCTAGTATCTATCATCTTTCTCTTGTTGTGAACTGAAATATAAATATGTATAACATAAGCTAAAAAGAAGACTTCAAACGATAAAGTGGCCAGTTTCTATCAAGAATCCTGTTTGAATGTGGGTGGTGCGAAGGAAACGGTATCGATCTCACATACATCTCACGGCATCCAAATCGATTAGAATACTTCTCTTTTTTTTTGAAGCATAGACATGTTAGTAGAAGTAATAGATTACTACATTGTCTTATGCTCTGAGCAATACTAGTCTTCGCTTTCGACCCATTGTTTGACAGTGATCTAGAAAATTTATTAAGTCAAGAAATTATCATTTGTGATGATGAATATGATATTATGTGGCATGCTATAGATAAGAAAAATGAAAAAAATTCCATTCAATGTCATCATTCTTTAAAGTTGAAGATTCCAGGAAATAAAAGTTCTAAACATGCGCAGCGATTAGTTTTCATTGTTTGAGACTTTTCATGTTTCAACCTATGCATATTACATGATAATTGTAAATATGAATTCCAATAAGTTTAGAGAATATAAGAAAGTCAACAATGATACTAGATACAATCGTCATTAAGTTTGTTTTATTGTTGTTAAATGAAGGAATTTAACCTTGACATAAATTTACACTATTTATCTCAAGTCAAAGTCTCATTTTTTTAATCTACTTAAATAATAGGAGTACTGAGATGACAAGAAAAAAATAATCATTCTCAAAGAAAATCATATTTTTGCATACAACAAGTTTAAGAGCATATAGGATCCCTTCTGTATAACCTGTAATAATATTATAGAAGAGTAATAAAGTAAATTTGGGATTCGAATTTGAAAAACATGTTTTTGCTCAAAGATTTTTTTCATAGGAACATTATTAAAGAAAATTGCTTTCGTCAATCAGCATTGAATTCAGTGAGATTTGTTAAATTGCATACTATCATATTCGTTTATCATGACATTTTCATATATTCATATCTATTCTGCGAAAGATTTCAACAACACATGACTGCTAATAGACGTCATTTTAAACATATACGTTACCTTGATTATTCTCGCTGTTATAGGTTGGTAAGATTGATTGAGTTTTTCTGAGTTGCATTTCTTGCAGACCGATTAAAGATTATCTAACGTATTCAATTGAATATCAAAAATTGAAACCGATGTTTATTGTTCATACTAACATGAAATATTCCTCGATGAATAATATTTCAACTGTTACTTTCGTTTTACAATTTATCGAACATTGTTTTGGGAGCTGTACACTTCCCCCGAATCTTCCATGAAAATCGAAAGTAATTGATAGAGCAACATCCATGATTCGTATTATTATTGTATTTGGTATGCAATGTCACTCAATAGATAAAAGCAAAAACAATATATTTCTCGAATGTTTCTTCACCTTTACATCCAATTGTTCGTCCATATATTATTTCTGTTAATTATTCCAACACTGTGGAAAACATTCATAAAATATAAAACAATCCTGTATATTCAATGGCCAACTGTAAAAGCTCCTTCACAATATTATCAGCAACAAGAAATCCATGTTAGCCGATGACATTTTCATTTTTCTCTACCATCTACAATCACAATGAGTTTTGAAAACACTTGATGGAAGAGAACAAAAACTAGTAGCCATTACTCAATAAAACACTTACATTGTACTATCGAACATGGGACCCCAAAGTCTCAAAAAGTGATGGGTAGATATTTTCGATTTTTCTAACCAGATCTTTCATCGAATCTGGAATTTTGATAGAAACTTGATTCAAATTTGATTTAAGCAGACTCCATAAACTTGGCACAGAGCTGTTTAACGAATTAAGTATTTCTCATATGCTATCCAAGTTTCAAATAACTGTATTTGTTGTATAATGAGTATGACTTTACTGAAATGAATAGTGAAATTGCACAAATTGAGATTTCAATAAATAAATCACATTTATAGTCTCTAATAAAAATAAGTTATTAAGCTGAAAGTGACGTTTACTTCTGTTTTCAGTGATTTTCTGAACATGGTTAAAGAATTTCCCTAGAAAATTCTCAAAAATATGCAGGCATTCAGTTCGTCTTACACATTGTTTATAGTCTTGCATCAAAAGATCTCAAAATTGATAGTATTCGATGAACATAGAGATAAACCAATGTTGTAATTGATAATACCATTTTTTTTTCTATTGGATCTTATTGACAAGAAGCTTTCTTAGAAGATGTTCGTCTATGCTTCATCATTTTATCTATTTCAAATTTCGTTTTTCATAAGGATAGAATAATCAATATAGAGCTTACACAGGCAAATAACAATATATGATGTCGAAAAAACATTAAAAATAAAATTGCATCTTCATTTTTTTATTATAATACTTTGATTATTAAATGTACAGCTTATAGATAGATATGTGCCAGTTTCAATTAAATGAGTACCCCTTTAAATTGATTCCGATAATTGAATGCTAGTTCTAACTGGCAAGTTGTTAGCAGTTAGTAGTGTTGATACTTAAATTAAATACTAATTTAACTGGTTATCTGATCTAGCTAGTTTCCAATCCAATTCAATACCCAGTTAACTAGAACTGGTGCATTCCTAATCATAGAAATCGTTACATTTTAGTCTATTCATCTGTATATGCTTCGATGAAAACAGTGATACAAATAATTTCACCAGATCGAGTTTAGTGTAGTATTGTGGCTCATCAAATTACCAAACGATGCTTATTCTGTTCTCGATAATAAACATGTATGATCTCATTAGTCTTCATGCATTGTGTGAAATAAACTAAAAATGTAATCAACATAGGCTTCAATCTACACTGAAAAAGTTTCCTGTAAAAACTATTCAAAATGAATTTGCCAAAATAAACTCATCTTATAGTATTTTTCGATTTTCTTCTATTCAGTTCATTGGATGTTGTTGATCCTTTTTTTCATTATATTCGCCATCTAATTCTCTACAAATTGAGTAGAAAAGATTAGAACATAGGTGTATAGTGAAATTTTTCAGAGATTTTAGTGGCAACATTTCATTCGACAAAATCAAATGGCAATTATAAGTGGTCCAGAATACTACCGATACCAGTGTATCGCAACCTTCACACTCCCAAGATGTAATGACGATGAAGGAAAACATGAAACAGTACAAAACAAATATTGATCTGAAATAATAACAAGAGCTGTGCATATTTAAATTTTTCGAACACTACCTTACACAATTTTATAGTATTTTCGGCGCACTTTGTACATAATTGAACGGACAACTTAATGAAAACAGAATCAAGAAAATTCGATCGAACGAACAGGAAAAAATAAAACCATACGGAGGCATTTTTCTTTTATAGACTAAATTTCAATGTCGTTCAAAGATATGTTCGTTACTCCAAGACAATACATGATAGTAAGTGTTTTTGAATGCAGATTCTAAACAGCTATTTTTTAATTCTCCTGAAGTATGTTATAGTTGATGAAAAATGAAGAGACATTTGTGCAGGAACTTTTGCATCACTTGTTAACTGTAGCGGTCTCATCATGTAACTTTGCCCGAGTATTGAGTTGTGTTATCTTTGGTGTCAATTAGAGATATTACGCAGCAGCTAACACGGATTCATCACAAATTCAAGAAGAAGTTTGAAGTCAGTTATAAAAGTGAAAAATTCTTAAAAATTGATAACGAACATAAATTCTATTGCAACGAACTGATGAAACGAGAAAAACAATTACTAGAACGGTTTCTTAATCTAAAAGTAGTGAAGAAAATCCTATTTGTAATTCTTGAATGTCTGAACAAATGTTGATTTCCTGTGTAAATCACGTAAGACCAATGTATCGACTAAAAATTATCAGATATCAGATCAAGATTATACAATGACTTTTCAACTTTTATCACCAACGTCGATATTGATTCGACTTTGGATTTCAATATTCTTTTTGGTTTTCATATTGTTGTTCTTTATGTTTCTGATATTGCTATAAGAATTCCTAATATTAGAAATATTTCGATAAACTTTGGTTTCTTTGTAAATTGATTGCTTCAAGTATTGTTTTAAGTTGTTCTACAATTACTGTAGTTCATGATTCAGATGCTATTCTTAACTTGTTTTCAGCTCTTAATTAGCAAAAAATGTCCAATTTCGAAGCAATTAACTTACTATCTGAAACTGTTTCGATTTTGTCGAGAGCAGTTTCATGCAAATCTTCGTGTTCCAAATTTATCTAGTTGTTAAGAATCTTGAATTGTGTGGGCGGGAATAAAATAGATTCTCATTTACCAGAAACCATTGAAAGAGCTGACATGTCTCTTGCTGAGAACGATTTAATCACAAAAAAAATTACAAGTTGACTGCTCACCAGCAAAATAAATAGCAAAATATATGCATGTATCATTTATCCATGATAGTGATGAGACGGCCTACTATTAAGAAAATAAAAGTGAAGCAAAATAGAAAGTACTTAGTTATGCCCCCCAACGTTATCAGAATTCTTTTTATTCCGAGGAACTTCTGAGAGATTTGACTTATTTTTATAAAACTAAGATAAATTTTAGCTTTATTGAGTGACAATACATTGCCGACTTCGAGGGCAATTTGTTGACAGCCATATCGAAAAGTTTCAAATAATGGAATCAGGGTTAAAACTTCTCGAATTTTCCACTACGAGGAGCTGCGTTGAGTGATGGATCAACTCCCCATCCAAAGGTATATGCTTTTATTGTAGCAATTTCTTCCTTTAACAATGCATTTCGATCAAAAGATTCATGTAATGGTGAGGTGTGGGTGTGGGTGTACGAGAATACAATCCGCAGCCACAGCCACAGCCACAGCCACACCCATAAATATTCATTACTGTATCGGCAAACCTAGGTACCGA